ACTCTGACTTTAAAGTCTGGGGCAGGGTGGAGCACAAGCTCACGTGTTCACGCTCTGATGAGAGAGATGAAGGCTGTTCCAGGATGAGAAGCCAAGAAATATGCAGGGGTGGGTCCTAAGCAGCAAGGCCCATGGGAGCTGGGGCAGAGGGAACCAGACAGAAGGACCTGGAGGATCTGACAACAGACTTGGCCTCACTCAGCCTCGGCCCCCTTGAAACAAGAAGCACTTGGATGAACGATAACATCCATCTCCCCTCTCGTGTGGCATCTGAAGGCCTTTTAGCACCAGCATGCTTTGTGCCAAGAATCTAGATTTCGCCATGCCCCTCAACTCCCCTGCAAAAAGTCCCCAGCAGCCCCGCAGTCTTGCCAACTGTCTTTAAAACAATAACCCGCCATCCTGCTCAGGAAACACACTGCGTGCGTGGAGCACGTCTTTATCTGTACACGGCCAGGCAGCAGATACTATAACCATGCTCGTTAGACAGGAGGAAACCAGGCTCCCTGCGTGAGTGGCAGACACCTACTCCCAGGCTCGCTGAGCCCCTCACCGTGGTAAGCCTTCAGCTCGCCCCTGACGCACACCCTCCGTGAAGGATGGCTGCTCGCCGAGCTGAAGACAAGCCAGATCTGAGCCCCTTCCTCACTCACTGGCTGCGAGACCACCGGGCCAAACACTCAACCTCTTCATCTCCTGGGGTCACTCCTGCCTCCCAACTGAGCTCAGGTCCAGATTCAGTGAAGTCACGTGCATTGAGAACAAATCTTACTCTTAGCAGCAGCTGATCGCAAACCAGCTCCAAACGCCTCCCACCCCCATGCATCCCATCTCCAGCGGGACCTCAGGACCCCACCCATCAAAAGCCGGAGGCTGTCTCCCAGCCACCCCCATGCATCCCATCTCCAGCGGGACCTCATGACCCCACCCATCAAAAGCCGGAGGCTGTCTCCCAGCCACCCCCATGCATCCCATCTCCAGCGGGACCTCAGGACCCCACCCATCAAAAGCTGGAGGCTGTCTCCCACCTCCTGAACTTGGGCCATGCGACAGCTTTGGTAAAGGAGACCTCAGCCATGTGATGTGGGCTTGGAAAACCGTGTGCACTGGGCCCACAGCGCTGGGCACCACCAGCTCTGTGAGGAGCCCCGGTCCAGCCTTGGGGGAGCAGCGGCCCATCCTCCCAGTCCACAGCCAACCACCCCGGACACATGAGGAAGGCTTTGGTAGGCAGCGACCACGGATGCCCAAGGGAGCACAGGTGACACCACCCAGCGGCTCAGCCCTCATCGCCACCCTCAGAGCCGTGAGCCAATAGAGGGCTGCCGTTTTCAGCCACAACGTTTGGGCTGGCTTGTTTGCAGCAGTGGGTAACTGATCCACTGCACCACAGATGTGGCTTACAATTTGTTAACTTACTGCTCTCCTTGATTCATTCCAAAGTGGTGTGACAGATGCAGAGCCAGACTGCAAAGTCTGTAGCCCAGACCTGGGCTTCACTCCCCACTCAAGCCACCTGAGAATCAGAGGGCTGTACCAGGAGAGCACCGAGAACTCCTCCAGCTCTGATGTTCTGGTGTGCTGGTGTATCTTTTCCTGTTCTAAACTCTCACTTCAACATTGCCTCAAAATTTTGTGTAGGTTTTGAATCTCTCTCCTTTTATTTCTGATACCAATTCACATTTTTCTTAGTGCCTCACCTATCATGTCTACACTGAACATCTGAGTGGTCATCTTTCTGTCCTTCTAAGTCCACAGGATTCTCCTGTGATAAGACACTGCAGCTTTTCAATTCCTGGATGTCATCAATCAAGACGATTTAATAACAGATCTGGGGAGGAGACAAGAAAAAACTGGATGAATGACATTGCCTTAAAATTGGGTACACCCTCTCCACTGTTAGTATTACAATTAATGCATAACAAGGCTGAACATTTCACACGTTTGATCTAAAGCTGGTTTAGAAGGAGCCTCACTGAGCTGCCGGCACCACGCAGGGCACGGCAGGGTACTTCATAAGCTCTGCCTGGTGTCTGGAACCTTTCAGTTCACAACGTGTTGAGGAACGCCTCCTGCCTGAAGACCTCCAGTCCGCGCTTCCCCTCATCTGGGCACCTGCCTCTGGGAACTAACAGCTTCTCCTGAAAGCTGTCCAGAAGCCTGACGGCTGGCTGGTGACTGAGCGACAGTTCACAGCACAGGAATTGGCCCCAGAGACCTCTCTTAGCTCCGTCAGTTCTGTAATGTCTCCTAAGAGATAAGCCTTGTCGAGAAGGTTACCCGATACCCAGGAGATCTGGTGACTTCTGCTGTCTCCCTCTGCTCAGTACGCGACCGCCCCTTGTTTGCTTTCCTCTTTCAGTGTGGCATCACAGTACCACACTGATGATAACCTTCCAAGCAACAACCAGGGATCCAGACTGAAGAGAAACCACCCTATACATGCAGCTACCTACCATCCCAGACCAGCCAGGTGCCCACCAGGAGCCGTGGGTGCCTTCCCTGAACTGTCACATCTGCCAGGAGCAGGGGACGCCCCCCTCTTCATCTGAGATTCCTGGCCCTGGCGAGTTTCTTATGCAACGATCGGTAACACCCACTGGGATTGTGCAAACACTAAAAGTTGTGTGTGCATGTTCAGGGTCAGGGTCTAGAAAAGATAACATACTTCTGGAGACCTTGAAGCTATGCGAGTGGCATGGGAGAAATTAATAATAATAATAATAAACGACGGTCCACATCATGAACTTTTCCCTTTTCCTCCAAATGACCCTCTTTCCTCAAAGACATTTAATTGTACCCCTTCCCCCCATCTAATGCAGTCAGTCAGTATTTGTTCAGTACCTGGGATGTGCCCAAGAGCTGTATGAGAATAAAACACAGTGACTTAAGGGGCCCATCATATTCATTCCACAATAGAAGATCATGGGAATGTTTAAATGCTAGATCGAGCGAGGTGTGTTATGAAAACAAAGCCTTAGAAAATGTCAGGAAATGTACCCTCCCCCACTCCCCGCGTGTACCCACACTCCACACTTCACCTGGAAGAGCCGGGGTACTAAGTTCCAAAGCAGCAGCCTGGAACGTTCCAAAGTACCAAGGACACGACACAGAGGCAGCCCACAGAACTCCACACAGGAGGCCACGGTGAAGGCATCCCCTTCCTTTCACTCTGCAACCCTCACTTTTGGAGGGAGCAGTGCACGGGTAGCCAGTGACAGTCAGGGGTCACGTGTTACGCTGCTGTCATGAGGGCCCGCCTGGTATATCATGAAAAGTCCAACTGAAAGTGCAAACCATGCCCTGGAGGCACAGGCAGGTCCAGCTGCGCCCCAGGCTGGTGTTCTCTCACGAAGAAAACAAAACTGGCCCCGAAGCGAACCCAAAGTCTAGATACACAAGTGCTCTGAGAGGTGAGAACCCAGGTCAGGCCGCTCCCGAGCTCTGGTGGCTGCGAAAACCCCAAGTGCTATTTTTCAAACAGCGTCAGCTTCTTCATCTGATAAACAGGAGCAAGGATTGTCCGCCTCAGATGAGCCCAACGATATCTGCTCAGCTCAGTGGTTCAGATGAGAGAATGTAATGTTCTGATCCGGAAAGGATCCAGGGACAGTGGCAAGTTTACCAGGATAAGATGGCATCTTCCTCCCATCTGAGAAGTTCTTCAAGCCGGGAGGAGTGGACCGTGGCCTTTTCTGAGTGTTCCAGACCACAGCCTCGCAGCTCTGGGATCTGGAGCCAGAAGACTGGCTGTGCTTTGCCACGCTACAGGGATGGAGGGGGGATGGCATTCAGGTGGATAAAGACAGAGCACAGATGGTGCCGGTTCCACTGACCTGCACCTCCACCCACCTGCCCCCTTACAGGTGCACTGGGATTTGAGCATTCTCTCTGGGCTGCTGAGGACCCACAGGAGCCAGTCCCACAAAGGGAACACGGGGAGGGACCTGGTGTTCTGGTCCCACCTCCGACCCCAGCCTTTTGGAAACTCTACCCCAGGAGCCCTGGCAGAGGAAGAGGTGCCTTCTCAGGGCCAAGGGGTCGGCGACCAGGCAGGGAGAGGCCTCTGCACCAAGGAGGGTTTCCTGGGGCATAACAGACAACGAACACCAGGGTGCAGCCAGTGCCAGCCTGGCTGGGGCACCGGGCACTTCTGTGCCTGTGACACAAGTGGGCTCACAGGTTCTTTTCCTACATCACTTTTGACTCCCTTCTGGCACTTCTTTCCTCCTCACTTCTTTCCCTCTGAAATCCCAACTGCAAACACCACTTCCCCCGCCTCCCTCAACGCTGGAAATGCAGACTATCTTGGGAGGTGCCCTCCCTCGCTCCCTCCCCACTGCCCACTCTCCTCACCAGGCTTACGCCCAGCCCCCTTCTCCCGACAACCTAGTTTTCCTCTCAATTCCCACTGCCCAGGGCCAGCCCTGCACGCACATCAGACCGGTCTGACACTGGGTCGAGGTCCTGGAGTCTGGGCCCCGCGCCTGGTTTCACGGGGTTGATTGGCTGGTCAGGACCCGAGGAGATTCAGGCCTATAAAGTGGGTCCTTAGGAACCTCAGAAAGAAGGAACCAGAGCCTGGAGAGGCCTTTAGGACCGAGGGGAGCCTTCTCTTCTCCGAACCAGGCGACAAATCCGCCCTCCTAGTCCCCAGTGGATGCCCCCTTCCCCCAGCCTCTGTCACCCACATTCCCAGACACCGGGCCCGGGCCACCTGCCAGACGCGATCCCCCGCGGGGCCCGGCGGCCTGGGGCAAAGTTGGCGGCGCCTTCGCGCGGAGCCGTTCCCTCCTCCTCCTCCTTCCTGCCATCCCTAGAGCCCGTGGCCGCCGCCTCCGGCACGCGTGTCTCCAGGCTCGGGAGCCGAGCCGAGCGGCGCGCCCCGGGCGCCCCTCGCCCACCCGCCGGCCGGGTGCGCGCCGCGATAGTCTCCTCTCACCCTCCTCTCCCGGTGGCCGGAGGGCCGGGCTCCGCCCCGCCGCCGCCGCTAGCTCGCTCCAGCAGCCCGGGCCGCCGCCGCTGCCCCGCGCCCGGCGCTCCAGTACGCGCGGGGCAGCCGGGGGCGCGGGCGGCGAGCGCAGGGCCGAGCGGCAGGGAGTGGACGGAAGGGGAAAAAGCCGGGCGGCGTGGGAGACAGCCGGGAGCAGAGGCGGGCGCCGCACACCCCGCGCCCCGCGCCCCGCGCGCTCGCTGCCTCTGGAGACGCGCGGGCCGCCACCGGGCGCACTAGCGGGTCACCTTGTCCGGGAGGTGAGTCCCGACCGCCACGGCAGAGCGGGCAGCGGAGGGGCCGGCGGGAGCGGGGCGGGGGCCGCGGGCAGGCGGCAGGGAGGCTGCCCCCGCGCGGGAGGGCGTCCTGGCTCCGCCTCGGAGCGCGCAGACCTGCGGCGTCGCGGCTCCGGGGTGAGTTCGGGTGGTCGGGGCGGCGGGACTGGGGAGGCGCGGGGTCGCCAGGCGCCAGGGAGAGCGGAGCGGACGAGGAAGATGTGGAGGAAGGGGCCGGGCGCCGGCAGCCCGGGCTGCAGCTTGGCGCCTCGCCACCCCAGGAGCCCCGGCGGCGCGGAGGCGCCGCTGTGCAAAGTCGGAGGGAGCTGCTGAGACCAAAACCCGGGAGCGCGGCGGAGCGGGGCTGCCCGGGGCGGTGGAGGCGCGCGGCGGGCACTGGCTCTGAGGGTCCGGGAGGCCCCCTCCAGCGACCCAAAGGAGACCGACTGGGGCTGGTGAGCGGGGCCGCCGCGGAGCTGGGGTCCGAGGTCCATCTGGGACAGGCAAGGGAAGCGGGCTTCGATTTGCCGAGCGGAGGGAAAAAGGAAGGCGAGGGTGCGAGCGCGCTGGGGATGGGGACTCCTGACCGACGACCGGGACGGAGACCGGGACTCTGGGAGCCCCTCGGTTCCGCGCGCTGTCTGGTCCCTGGCAGCCGCGACAGCCCGGAGCCCTGGGAGCCGCCAGCCACAGCGCGGAGCGGGGAATGAGTGGATGCGTTTGGGGTTCAAGTTCTGGTCACAATTTCCCTGGGTATGATTTCTGCCTCTTCGTGCGCGCTCTCCAGGTGCGGGGAGAGGGAATTGGATTACAGGCAGAATGGGGCATTTTTCCGGAGGAAGGGGCTTTGATCGCGATGCGTTTTCTGCGAGACTCCAGTGGAGTGGGCGCTTACAGTCCTGCTTTGGGGAGGCTGCCAGTGGGGCCGCTTGGCTTTCCTGAAGGACTAGAGAAAGGGGTCTTCTCGTCGCCTTCGTCTCCTTGGGTGCCCCTTGCACGCAGGGGCGTGGGCGCCTATCACCCAGACTTCAGGTGCGTGCAGCCCTTCTGTGGCGTCAGATGCGCTGGCGCCGCCAGCTTCTGGCCAGACTCCTGTCTGCGCCTTCCCGGGCCACCTCCCGGGTTCGGGTTTGGTGCAGCGGACACTGGCTGAGGGCTTGGCAGATTTAGGGGCTGGGGATAGGTGGCTCCGATTTGCAGTTAGAATCAGGCTCAGGCAGTGGGGTGAGCACCTGGGTCAGTGTATCTGTGGGTCCCCCTCCTAATGGCCAGTGTGTTTGGTCAGAGCCCAAAGGGAGCGGCTTCTGCCCTGAGCAGAACTGCAGCCTGTGGGGCGAGCGGCCTGTAACAAACCCCAGAGCCAGCCAACTTTTTTTTGCTGAGGAGAGATTGCTGGGCAGTCAGCGCTGGTGCTGGGATGTGGTCTCCTGAGGGGGTCTGGCTCCCTAAATGCTCACAGCAGCCAGAGTGGAGAGCCAGCCCGGCGGTGAGGCTGATGTCCGTTCTGGCTAAGACAGGAAGTGGCTGGAGCAGATTTTGGGATGAATTATCGCCTGCTGTGTGCCTGGTGGTTGTGTGGAATGTCTTTCTGGAGATCAGACCACAGGTGTGGGCCTGTGAGACGTTTGAGGGTGAGCCTTCCACCTCCCTCCCACCCTCTCTCCAACACCCCAGGGCCCCTTTGCCTAGAGCAAACGTTGTTTTGTCACTGATCTGGTGGCCTCTCCCACCCTGCCCCCACCTACTGCATGAAAATGGAATCGTCATAATCAAGAGGGCCTTGTTAAATAAAGGAAAAACTGGGGAAATCCATGTCTAAAGTTTTTTACAGTGGAAAATGTCAGTGGTTCGCAGAGGTGGGAAGAACAGCGCACTGACCCTGCAGTGTGCCCCTCATCCACCCTGCTGCCTTTCCGTCCTGTTTACCACCCTCCTGCGAGTTTGGGAGGCCCGTGTCTGAGGAAGGATTTGGAAACTTATTCCCAGCTCACTTCACTGCTGAATGCGGCCCATGAATCTCCAGCTGATGACGTTTCATTTCGTTTTCACATAACCATCAGCAGAAACAACTTCTTTGAATGATTCCATTAGAAATAGGTGATGTTAAAATAGAAACGAAGGTGCCCCGCTGTCCATCTGGGGGTAGAAAAGAAACCTGCTAACATTCCTGGAGGCACAAAGAGGGGGGTTGAAGGAGGAGAGGGAAATTCAGACCCTGAGAAAAGAGACATCTGAAACAATTACATTTGACTCCTGCCAGCGGACGTGCAGCGAAGAAACAGATTCCAGCTGAACCGATACAAGCAAAAGAACATTACTTTTTTGGTAAAAAAAAAAACTTTAAAACTCAATTCATAAGTCATAAGCAGTTCATTTCTTCCACATTTAGCATTGGCAGAAATTTAAAGTGCTGCACTGACTTGCCTCCCTCTCTCAGCTCTAACGCATATTTTCTCGGGAGTTATTACTATTATAAGAGAATAAAAAGATATTTTCTTATGTAAGTTTTCTATGGGAGACACTAATTGGTGCTATTCTGAGGCTCATGAGAGTGCTAACATTTCATCTCTCAATTAGAGAACGTTTGCTCATCACCTGGTCACATCTGGAGACTCTGCTCCCTCAGATGGGTTCCGAGTGTGGAGTCTGTTGGCTGGAGGAGGTAGCCTGGGACCAGCCTCCAGAGGCTGTGGGAGGGGACCCCCATACCTACGTGCCCCCCCCACCTCACTCTGCACACCTCCGCACATTCTTTTACAGAAAAGCTGTTCCTAAAACTTGTCAACGACGTGCTTGGAGGATTTGGCAAACTTTTGAATACCTTGATAAGGTGCACTCTTTAATGGCATCCTTGGCCAGCCTCTTGTGATATGAATAACCATCCTGTAGGCCAGCACCTTTATGTCCTCCTTCCCCCAGATAAAACCAGCGTGACCCCTAGCTCCTCCTTTTGGCCTTTGTGGGGCCCGTGCACATTGGGGATCCTCACGGCCAAAAGGGCCAATCGCAGTGCTGTGACCTGTAGTCTGAACAGACTCACGTCATCAGCAAACCCTCGGACTGAGGGGGCAAAGGTGCAAAGATTGAGGCACGGGGTGTTGGGTTGTGAGCATCAGCACAGCCTGGGGCTAATGAGAAGCAGAAAGGCCTGGTCCTTCGGTGGGAGGTCACATGAGGCTGTCTGGGGGGAAAGGTGCTGATAGGGAGCAACGCTGGGACCACAGCTTTGGCCCAGCATCCCTGACCTGGAGGCATTGTGCCAACATGTCAGAAAACAAAACGTGAAAAGTGTTCAAATATTAAATATTCTGAACATTGACCATAGGCTGACCCGGATCCTGCCCGTGCCAGCAGAATTGGAGTAACGTAGGTAGCAGTCAGTAGTTTAAACAAATGTGATTCTTCTACGTTCTCTGTGCAATTTCAAATTTTTCCTGAGAGCTTATAACCATGTTTGAAACAGGAACAGCTGTAACTCTTTCAGGCACTGGGCTGCAATTCAGTGCCCTCAACATGGCTTAGTTTAGATCAGGCAGCCTGAGGACCAAGGCTGGGAGGGGGGAGGGAGGGGGCAGGGGGGAGAGAGGAGGGGGGAGGAGGGAGGGGGGAGGAGTCTGGAGACACAGGTGGTTGCCCCACCCCAGGACAACGTCTGGCATTCCAGTGCCAAGACAGGCCTCCATCTCCAGGCTCTGCTGCCTGCCTGTTGAATGACCTGAGATCACTTAACTTTTCCGAGATTCTCTTTCCTTCCATCCATGTTCCTTCCAGGATTTTGAAAACAAAATGTTTATGGTTGCCCCAGTTTTTAAAATAGGGATGACTCTGGTTTAGGAGCACTTTAGTTAGAGTCTTTGGATGTCTCCCTGGGTGAAGTTTGTGTCCCCATGGTTCTCAGGACACAGTGTGGGCCCCGGCCCATCCTTGCCCCTGCATCCGCCAGCTTCCTGTTGGCAAGAGTCAGGGTAACGTCAGGGGCACCTGTCCATGTGGGTATGTCCTCAGGTAGGAGCCGCCTGAGTGGCGTCAACATTCCCCTCGGGTGGGTTCAGAGGGCATGTGTGGGAAAGGTTTGGGAAAGATGCGTCTAACACAACTTGATTTAGACTCGCATCACATTATAAAAGTTACATGATGCACGTTCTTTAGGATAAAACGTTTTAAAGCAGGTTCTCAACAAACCGCAAAGCACCACTTATAATGCATGATGTTTTAAGTTACAAACGTTGTTTCGATCCAAAGTCTGAGTCATCTTAAACCGTGTTATGATAAATAACCTATTAAATTGCACAAAATAAAATAAAATACTTAAGGAAAACAAAAACAAATAAGAGAACTGTTAGAACTAAGAATAACACAACCAGGAAACCATATACATGTGTAGAAAATAATAAAAATAAAAGTTGCTTCCTATAGATCAACCCAGGGGACAACTCTGCATATTGGCTTGCATAAAAGAATTTACTGAAGAGTTCTATTAGCATTATTTCAGAGAGGTGGAGGTTTTGTTCTTGCGGTTCAAATCAATATTCAGTGTAAAACATTTTGAGTTTTTAGTTCCCAGTTGGATCTTATGTTCATCACAGTCATCTTTAAACATAGTTCCTGATAATGCTATAGTGACGTTTAGGGGCTGTGACTCTGAAGGAGAGAACATGAGTGTTTATTGATTGCAGGTTGAGTCTTTCATGAAGGGCCTGCTTAGTTTAAATTCTTTTTTTTTTTTTTTTTGCGGTACGCGGGCCTCTCACTGTTGTGGCCTCTCCCGTTGCGGAGCACAGGCTCCTGACGCACAGGCTCAGCGGCCATGGCTCACGGGCCCAGGCGCTCCGCGGCATGTGGGATCTTCCCGGACCGGGGCACGAACCCGCGTCCTCTGCATCGGCAGGTGGACTCTCAACCACTGCGCCACCAGGGAAGCCCTAAATTCATATTTTTAAAACGTATTACTTCTCAAACATTTGACCTCATTGAGTAACCACTTT